GTACTTTGATGAAGTCTAATTTATTAATTTTTATGGATTATGCTTTCATGTCGATGCCCAACAACTTTAGCCCAATCCAAGTTCATAAAGATTTCCTCCTATTTTTCAGAAGTTTATAGTTTTTGTTTTTATATTTGGGTGTCTGATCCATTTTGAAGTAATTTTTTTTTTTTTTTTTTTTTTTGAGACAGAGTCTCACTTTGTTGTCCAGGCTAGAGTGAGTGCCGTGGCGTCACCCTAGCTCACAGCAACCTCAAACTCCTGGGCTCGAGTGATCCTTCTGCCTCAGCCTCCCGAGTAGCTGGGACTACAGGCATGCGCCACTATGCCCGGCTAATTTTTTTATTATATTATTATCAGTTGCCAATCAATTCTTTCTATTTATAGTAGAGACGGGGTCTCGCTCTTGCTCAGGCTGGTTTTGACTCCTGACCTTGAGCAATCCGCCCGCCCGGCCTCCCAGAGCAGATTACAGGCGTGAGCCACCGCGCCCGGCCTGAAGTAATTTTTATATATGGTGTTAGATATGGATCAAAGTTCCTATTTTAATGTAGATATCTGGTTATTCCAATATCATTTATTGAAAAGACTATCCTTTCTTGAGTGACCTGCCTTTGCATCTTTATAAAATCAGTTCCATGTATATTTGTGGCTCTATTATTGAACTGTATTTTGTTGTATTGGTATAATTCTCTTTTCAATGATAACACCACATTGATTTTTTAAATACAGCTATATAATGAATGAGTCATAAAATTGGGTGTTGCTAAGTTGTTTTTTTTTTTTTTTTTTGCATTTCCCTGTACCTTTTAGAATGAACTTGTCAATTTCTTTCAAAAAATAAAGTCCTGCTGGGATTTGATTGGGATTCTTTGAATCTATAGATCAGTTTGGGGGGGAACTGACATCTTAAATGTATTAAATCTTCTAACCCCGAATACAGTATATCTTTCCATTTATTTAGTTTTTTTAAAAACAACTTCTCTCAACAATGCTTTTCATCTTCAGTGTAAAGAAATTTTCTTTTTCAGAGCATTTTAACTACAAACTTAATTTCTTTAATAGATATAGGGCTATTATCTATTTCTTCCAGAGAAAAGTAATCTATTTCTATCATTGTTTATTGTCTATTTCTGCCATTTAATTGTGTAGTTATTTCACATTGATTACTTGGTGTCGTATTTCTACCATTCGTTGTCTACTTCGACCTTACGTAGTTTCTGTTTTTCTTAGGAATTGTTCATTATCGACGGCCGCGGGGTGTGGTTAATTATCTGCAGGGTCGCTCATTCTATTTGCTTAGTGTCTTCTAACTATTTGCGTAGCACGTCTTAGTATGTGCACTTCCTCTATTCTTGAAATAACATTTGTGTCCATGTGCACTTTTTAATCAGTTTGGCTAGGTTTATGGAATTTGTATTATCTAAAGAATTAGCTTTGGGTTTCATGGTTTCTGGTATTGTTTTTTTAATTTTCTATTTCATTGGTTTCTGCTCTGATCTTTATTATCTCTATTCTTCTGTTTTATTTGGTTTTATGTTGCACTTATTTTGCTGGGTTTTTGAAAGATGGGACCCTCTAGGTTGTTGAATCCAGAGCTGCTTTTTTAATATAAACATTTCAAACTATAATTCCCTCACAGTCTGTCTTAGCTCATCCACAAAGGTTGAGCTATGATTGGTATTAATTTTATTTTCAATGTCAAAATACTTTCTAATTGTCTCCCTTGATTCTTATTTTTCGTTTCGGCACTTCGATACGATTGTTTATAAGAGAGATATGAGTTTCGTTCCATCGTATTTAGGTTACCGTACTACTATATGTGCCATTATGGGTACATATGAATCCATATATGTAAATGTTCATATTATACAAACGACCACAATACCACACTTGTTATTATACATTTAAAGGATTTAATCATAATAGAAGATTTTGGGATGTATTCTACCCATGTAGTACTTTTTTTTGGGGGGGTACTCCTTGGGCTATTCTTCACTTCCTTTATGTAGATCCATATTTCCATCTGTAATTTTTCTACTGCCTGATGGAATTCCTTACAATTCTTAGGAGATCTCTCTGAGGATAATTGTTTTCAGCGTTTTTTTTTTTCGAGACAGCAGTCTTTGCCTCGCTTTTCCAGGTAGAGGCTTGTGGCATCAGCCGCTAGCTCACGCAGCTCTGACTCCGGACTCCAAGTGTCCCTCCTGACTCAGCTTCCTGAGTAGCTGGACCAGGGCACATGCAACCATCCCGGCTGTTTTTTCTGATTTTCAGCTAGACGATGGTGTTCGCTTTCGCTCAGACTACTGTCCGACACTCCGGACCTCAAGTAATCCTCCTGCCTGGCCTCCCAGTGCTTAAGATTACAGGTGTGAGCCACCATACCTGGCCAATTGTTTCAGCTTACTTTGACATCGAAAAACATTGTATTTTGCCTTTGGTTTTGAAAGATATTTTTGCTGGGTATGGAGATCTTGGTTGCCAGGGGTTTTTTTTTTTTTGTTCAGTCTTAAAGGATATTTACTACCATGGGATCTTCTCATTCTGCTGTGTTCTTCATGGAAAGTAGTGTGCAGCCGTTTCTTGTCTTCTGTATGTATAGTGTTTTGTTACTCGGTGTTTTTATATTTTTCTTGTTTGTACGGTTTTTTGAACAATTGCTTCTTAATTTTTCCGTATTTATTAGGCTGTTTGTGAACAACTTTATTATATGTCACCATAGTATAGTGTTTGTTCATGTTCCTTTGGGTAATTTCTTCTCATTATGGGTCAGATTTTCCTGCTTCTTTGCATACCTGGTAATCTTTTTTCAAGTGTCAGACATTGTGAATTTTAACTTGTTTGGTGCTGGCTATTTTTGTATTCCTATAAATGTCTTTGAGTTTTGTTCTGGGATATAGTTAAATTACCTAGAAATAGTTTATCCTTTTGCTTTGTTTTTTTTTTTTTTTAGATTTTTTTATGCAGGATCTAAGTAGCATTTAGTCTAGGAGTAATCAGTTTGCACTACTGAGGCAAGACCCTTCTGAGTATTCTACTTAATGTGTGAATCATGTGGTTTCAGAGTGTTTTGTTAGACCAGGAATTCTTCCTAACCCTGTCAAACACCTTGCACTGTCCTCTATAACTGTCTCCTTGGTTCTTTCCCCAGTTTGGGGTCATTTCCTCATAAACACATGTTAACTTGTGGGACTATCTGCAGATGTCCAATCTTTTGGACTATCTGCAGATGTCTGTGCAGTTCTCTCTTCTCTGATATTTTGCTCTTTGGACCTAGCCGACTTTTTCTTTTGGACTCTCAGCTCCTTCTCAACTCAGGTAGTCTGCCAGCCTCCACTTATGTTCCCTGTCCCTGCACGATGGTCTGGAGACTCGGGCAGTGCACTGGGACAATTGTTGGGCTAACTTCGGTCCTTTCTCATCGTTCCTGTTTCGCTGTCTTACACGGCTCGATGTGCATACTCTTGTGAACTGTTATTTTATGTCTTACTTGTTTATTTGCTTGTTTTGGGTTGTTTTAGGCAGAGGGTAAATCCAGTCCCTTTTACTCCATCTTGGCCAGAAGTGGATCTTTATGTTCTACTCTTAATTCAGAGGGTCTCAGATAGGTGCCTATAAGAATCATTTGGTGGAGCTTATTAAAATGAGGAAGCTCCTACAAGCAACATGGGGTTTGAAGATGATGCAAAGAATCTGCATTTTATTTATGTATTTGTTTATTTTTTCTTTTATTTTATTAGAGTCAGGCTTCTGAAAGAATCAGCGTTTTAGGGAAGTACCCTGACCACGATTTCAGAAGTGCTGCCTGCAGACCTCCTTCCACCTTTGGCCCGCAACTGTAGGGTGCATTTTAGGTCTCAAAGTTCTCTGGAATCGCATTGCTTGGTTCTGGCTCCATCTCCACCTGTCACTCGCTGCAATCTTGGACAAATTCCTTAACCTCTCTGGGTCGTCCATCATAACAACCTTGCAAGGTTGGTATGTATTACAGGGAATAAATCATGGAAAGTGCTGGCACATGGTCAGCACTCGACTGATGTTAGCTGTTACTGTATGTGTTAGATCACCTGGTGGTTATAAGAGCCCATTTTATAGATGAAATTGGAGCCTTGGAGGGAGGTGTAGCAACAAAGTCATTTGGACAGCGATTTACAGAGCTAGAACAGGAACCCAGGTCTGCCTTCTCCTGCAAAGCATTCTCTACCTCGGTGGACTCTGGTATCCAGGTGGAGGGCTACCAGCAAGCGGAGAGGGACCACGGACGTGTGAGTGTGTGTGTTTGCAATAATGACGGGAAACTTTGCATTACACTTTGTATGGGGGGCAAGTTAGTGGTTAACTTCTAATTTTGGGGGAGTTACTTCCAAACTATAGGGTTTTATGTTATGCTGGGTCCTAGATTACACTCCAAATTAAAGCCTCCGTTGCTGGAGTTCCACTGAAGCCTCGTGCATGGGTCTCATTCTGCCTACCACATTCAGGGAGCTGGAAGTATGTGTGAGTGTCTGTGAGTGGGGTAGGACTCAGGGTTTGTGATCTATTTGCTTTGCTATGTCCCTCAGTCCCATCCCCCTCCCGCCTGCTCTAGTACGGCACATTCAGAAACTCTTCAAGTGCAAAGCTATTTATAATACGAAGTAGGATCTATTTATGGATAAGGTGAGTTACAAGCACACAACCTCAAGCCACCCAACTTGCTTGTTTGGTTCAGGTTTGAACCATTCAACTGCCTATTCCAAGTAATCTACCTCTTCTTGCTTTTACACCTTAATTCCATCTCTAGACCTTCTCCGAGTTCTTTTTGCAAGCTTCCTTGGTTTATGGGGAAGCAGAGTATTTTTTTTTTTCTTTAGTACAGGTTCCGCCAAGCCCATTTCAAAAATTATGCATAAAAAGCTTGAAGACTTTCACCACGTCAAGTAGGCCAAGAAGAATTTGGAATGAAGGACTGTAAAAATAAAGGCCTTACCCATGTAAGGTAGAACTATATTGCTTAATCAGTTTGAAACTAATCAGGGCTCTTCCCAGTTTGCATTACATGTGGTACAGGGCGTGGAAGGAGTGATTTGAGGTGCTTATCCATCATGGAATCTGATCTAAGTTCACCTGCATAATTGACTCCTGATAATTGGGTATATCAACTATAATTGATAGCGATGATAAGTGATTTCATCTCTGGAGCCAGGTTCAATGACTTGGTGGCGGCTCCTGGGTGCAGCCCATGCCAGTGCCCAGCGACACAGTTACTTGGTCCCTTGTTGTGGCCTTCCATTGGCGTTGGAGGGTGGCTGTGGTTCACGGGCCGGTTGTTTGCCATCACCACTGTGGAGAGGGCCGAGTCCATTGCCGAGACCATTGCCAAGTCCCCCACTCTGCACCCTATCCAAGGCAAGAGGAAGGAGGAGGGTGGAATGGCAGAGCTGCACCTTGGCCCTCCCGGTGGCAGGATCAGAGCCACACCCCCCTTGTCACTTATGTACCCTTCCAAAGCCCTGCCCGTAGCTGCCCAGCAGACATCCCATGGCCATCCTCTGGAGTCCATGCTGGCTTTAATATTCCCATTCTGCAGAGGAGGCACAGTGAGGTTTCCCAGGCAATGGTCTCATTCTCCTGGCCCTCTGGCCAGGCTCAGTCCTCGAGGGGGTCCTTGCTTCACCGCTAGGCCTTTGCCTTCACTCGGAGAGGAAGAATGGAACGGCAGAAAGAGCAGCAGGTCAGGAGTCAGAAAGTGTGGGCTCCCGCCCAGGTCTTGTCAGCACAGCGCTCGTGGCCTTGGGTGAGTCACGCTACATCCTAGAGTCGTTGAACCTCCCAGCTTTCTCACGTAGACATCTCCGGGCTGGGATAAGAGCGGTGCTTGTCGATCTCAGGGACAGGCTGGGGTGAACCTGGCACAGGTTCCCCAGGTGTGACAGGCTTTGGAGCCTGCAAGGAGAGAATCTTTCTGAGCTGTGCTGTGTGGCGGTCTGGGGCCCACGCCACTGTGCCGGAGGAAAGTAAAATGATGCCAGTTTTGCTTGAAGATCTGGGGACATTTGTGAACAAGCATACATATATCATGAAGTCAAAGACAACGTTCATACACATTTTAAAGATTAAAAAAAAAAAGGTTTCCAGGACACTTGCTATTTGAGGCAGGCCTCTCCCTGCTCCATCCCAGGCCCTGACTCTTCTCTCCTCTGTCATTAAGATACACTGGTTGGCAAATGTCCTATACAAGGAAGGGGACGCCAGTTCAGCCTGGGGCAGGAGCAAAGCCTTAGTCCTGGGAGGGGAAGGGGTGCTGGTCTCCATCCCCTGGCCGGCCTCGGAACTCCCTCTGCTGTGAACTCCCGTCTGAGCAGGGCTCTGTGGGTGCAGATGGGACCTGTCATTTTCTAGCACCTTGCTGCAGGGCCCAAGCCGAGTGGCTTTGAGATCGCTGTGGTGGAGAGGCACGCCGGGGCTCGGGGACTGCCCCCTTCGCTGCCACCCCACCATGCAGCCCGGCGTCCTCTGGGGGATTTAAGGTGAGGTGGAGGTGGGTCTAGCAGGGGCCACCAGGTGGGCAAAGGGTGGACAGCAGGGGACAGCACGAGCAGAGGCCCACAGACCTCACCAGGGTAGCACTGGCCTTGTCTGCCAGCCTGGCTGAGATGCCATTTGGGGATTCCCAGTAAGGGCGGGGTGGGGTTTGTGGAAGGGGACAAAGTCCGGAGTAGCTGAAGGTGGGGGGTGTGTGTGGCATGAGCCTTTAGTTTATTGCCTCTTCGTGCTGCTCTGTGCACATGGGCGGAGAGCTGCCGTTCCTGTTTTCATTTGTTGCTCCCAGACGCCCAGGGGTGGATGGAAATTGTCATGGATTGTTTTAAATGTTTTCAAAACTCTAATGGAAATCATAATAGGTCTGTTTTCTGTTTTTTGCATACCCGGTTATGGATGTGTTTGATTAATAAATCATGCGGAAATGAATTAATTATTCCTTAATGATTACAGTCTCTTTGGTAAACAACATATTCCAAGACAAAGGAGAGATGGGAGAAACATAACGAAGCAGGGCTCTGATGTTGATTAGATGAGGAAGCACCCAGCACAGAGGCCCCCAGGGTTTCCTGCTGGGAAGACGGTCCAGGACGGAGCAGCGCGGTCTGGTGGGACCAGCAGCACAGTGGGAGCATGGAGGGGACAGGAGGTGTTCCAGCCACTTGTGCCATCTCTGCACACCCAGGAAGTCATGCGGTCCAGAGTGAGAGGAGGGGTGTGTGGGAGTCACAGGAGGGTCCCAGTTCCTCTTCTGAGTCACTATGCCCAAGGCAGAAATTTAAAAACTCTGGGACGACCCAGCATCCCAGGGCAATGTGTCTGCTTGAAGAAGTAGAACTGCTCGGCTCAGTGGCTCTCAACCTGCAGGCTGCATCAGAACTGCTGGGAAGAGTCTTGAACATGCAGCAGACAAACGGCCCAACGCTCAGAGTGCTGGTTCCGTAGGTCGGGGCTGAGACCGAGAATTTGCTATCTAATGAGGTTCCTGGAGCCGCTGCTGCCACTGGCGCAGGGACCACACTCACAAACACTTTCCTCCCATTTGCTCTCATCTCAGTTTCTCTCCTCCGCAGTTTTGCCGTCACTGTTCTCCACCCCGGCCTTGTTCCAGCCTCCCTCTCACCCTTCCGTTCCCTTAGTACCTTTCACCGCACCCCACTCGTCTCCTGCCTCCTCCCTCCTTCACCAGACACCAACCCAGCAATCTCCCCCACCCGCCCGTCCGTCCTCCCAAACAGTGGAAAACTTGATTTTCTTGAAAACTGAAATGCCAAAGAGGCAGGAGGGAAAAACCTGTCCATCCCCCTAGCTGGCCAGGACACGGGTTGCAGGTGACGGGGGACAGCATGGGCTGGCCAGGACGTGAGGTTCCCCACAGCTGACCGAGCTGCCTGGGGCTGGTGCGTCCTGGCATGGACTCCGAGGGACAGCAGGACAAAGTTTGCTTTCCTGTACTGGGCGGGGGCTGGGGGGTACATGGGGCCACCCAGAGGGCAGCCCTCAGGCAGGCACACGGTCCTCGTCCGAACCACTTTCCCATAGAAGTTCTAGCACTTGAGTGGGTGGCAGAATCTCTTGGAGGGCTTGGGCCCCACTCCAGAGCTGCTCATGCAGCAGGTCTGGGATAGGGTTAGGGTGACCAACTGTCCCGGTTTGCCCAGGACTAAATAGGGCTCCCGGGATGTGAGACTTTCAACACTAAAGCAGGGAAAGTCCTGGGCAAACTGGGACAGGGTGGTCACCCTCTGCAGGGCTGGGGACTTTGCATTTCTGGCATGTTCCCAGGGTGCTGCCGCTGCTGGCGCAGAGGTGCATGTGTAGAACTGCAGCTTCGCTGTTCCCAGGCAGCTGCGGAGGCCTAGGGCAGGGGGTCGTGGCCTGGACTCCTGTTCAGAGTGAAGGGCTCCAGCGGGAGTTCAGACTCCATAGAGCTGCAGTCAGGGAAGGGGGCGTGGCCTGGGCAGAGGACGGCCACAGGGCCCAGGTCGATGAGGGAGGGAGGGGCACTGACCAGAGAGCCGGGGGCAGGGGAGAGGGGACATCTGAGCTGAGGCTGTGTGTGCTGGGCGCACCTCCCAGTGACTATAACCCCGGGGGTCCCGGGACCCCCCTCACTGTGGGGCAAGCCTTAGCTTGGGCTGGAAGGAAGGCGGAGAAGAGGACACAGGCTGTTCCTGAGCGCTGGGGGAAGGGCTGGAGGAAGGGAAGCCAGAAAGGAAAGAAACAGATAATTGTGAGCCGGGTGTACATATTTGGGAAGCAGAGTCAGGCCAGGTAAAGCGTCTGAGCTGTTAACCTGTAAAATGTTAATAGTATGTACAGTCTTATGCAAATTATTTCTTCACATGCTGGCTTGGGGAGTTTTGGGGCACACAGCCTAGTGCAGTGTGGGGCATCGCAGAGAAGTCAGGGGTGGCCCCAGTGGGAATCTGCACCCCACTTCCACCTCCCTTTCTAAAGCTAAGGAAGCTCCTAGGAGGGGCAGTCTTTGGGGTCCGGGCTGGAGTGGGGCCAGAGGTGACTGAGTGTTTGTTGATGAGGCAGTGAATGTATCTTGAGACTCAGTGGCTGCTGTATAGTCTGTGACAACTGCTGCCGGGCCTTCCTTGTGCTAGTTTCTGGCTAGGTACAAAGCACTTGCTCACACAGCAAACTCTAGCATCCTGGACTCATAATCAGCTTCTGGCATTCCCAGCCTTGCCTCCCCACATGCCTGACAAGGAGTGGTTTGCTGCTATCCTTGTTTCCAGGGCTGGCCCCCACCCCTTGTGTGCCTGCCCTGCCAAGAAACTTCTAGGCATCTTAGAAGAGCCAACTGAGTTC